TGGCTGCTGGTGCCTTGACCGCCGCGCCGGGAGAATGAGGTATTAACAGGTCCGGTTTATGGATGGGATGAGCCTTGGGCGGTTTGCATGTGCGTCAACGAAGCGTACAGACTAAAGAAGTTTTGCTTTGCAAGTTGCGTTTCCTCTGGCTTAGCTCCTCTGTTCGACATGGGACTGTCGGCCTCGCCTTCCTTTAGGTTTTGCAGCCGCTCATCGTGGGAGATGAGATTTTCTTCCAGTCCCTGCACGTGGGCCTCTTGCAGAGGTGTTCCTGGGCTTTGCTTTTCTCCTTTCTTCTAGGCCATGATATTTGCTAGCATCGAGTCTGTTCCTTTTCTTTTTCTCGCTTGTGTTTGGCCGCAGCAATCAGGGTTTTGTGGCCCTGATTTGCTGTTTGCTTGGGAACAAGGGGTCACTGGTGCATCGTTACTGCTCATGGTGGTGGACAGATGTATGTTTAGGGCACATCTTGCTAATCTCTGAAGTGAAGCAGAAAGTTGATGAAACTGCAAAAATTGCATTTGTTTCCAAAATACCAAAGCCAACCAACTTGAACAACCCCTCCACTTCAACGTTCCCCCCTCCCCCACGCCTTATGTATTACAGAAAAACATTAGTTACTGCATGTCCCCAAAAAATTGCTGGAGATGTACCTTTGGGCTGTTCTTTTTCCTGGTTTAACCAAATATTCTTTGAATAATCCTGTTAACTTCATTTAGCTGAACCGATTTCTTCCCTCAGTCCTCCCGTAAGACAATGGAAAAGAACGTACTTGCAAACCCTCTGTAAGCGTTCAGAAAACGAGGTGTAAAAGCATGTGAATACTGCTCATACTCTATGTCTTGGAAACTAACATTTTTCTGTTCCTTCAGGTGCTTCGTCAGTTTGTAAGACATGAGTCTGATACAGTCGGCTCGTTGGTACTCGAAAGGTGTAAGTAGCTCCTGAGATGAAACTTAGCTGTTGTTCTTCATGGTTTTTATTTTTGTTTCAGAAGGGATGAAATATATGAGGAGAGGAACAGTTAGGAATGGTAGCTCCTGCATGCAGTAGCTAAGAACGTGTTGTTTCAAACAGACTCTTAAGTAGCTTCCTATCTGGTCTTTGTCAAGTCGAGCAGCCCTTAAGGGGGAAAAGAAAAAAGCCCTGACATGGAGTACAACTTGTTGAAGGCAGGTAGTCCTGCTTTATTGGTGGCAGTGAATTGGGTATGCTATTGTCACATTTTTCTAATACCTGCAGTTAGGTGTCTCATGTGCTTGTTTCTCAGGCTCCCTTGTGCCTGGGGGACTCGTTTGGGGGCAGCTGCTGCTGCCCCAGCATGATTTGCTCCAAGCGTATGCTTCAGACTTTACCATTCAGTTCACATGCTCGTTGTGCAAGGGCAATGCTCTCCCAACCTCCTTCAGTTCTCCTTCAACAAGGAGAAGGAATAAATTGTGTCCACCCAGTCCTGGTACGTGCGTAAAAACCAGTGACCCTCTAATTTTGAGGGTGGGGTGTAACAAGGCAACTCTGTTGTTTTAAAGGTGTTGTTTTAAGGACAAAGCAATTCAATGCTACGGTTTTATCATAATGAAAAAATAAAAAGTCAAGGTAAGTAAATGCAAAATAGTCTCAAGTGACATATGGATGCATCTGTAAAAATGATAACAAAGGAATGGAAAGAATAAAGAACCTTTAGCTTTCTAAATGAGCATATTCAGCAGCGATAACAATAGTACAGGCACAGTCGACCATCTGCAGGGCCTGAATATGCCAAGAGTCACAGAGCTTGAAAAATGGTTAGGAGGTGCAGAAAATCATTGTTCTGGCCCTTGACAAAAGCTGCCGACTTATGACTTGCCAGGATTAGAAGAATGACAATTCACCTGTGTATGTATTTACTCTCTCGCGTTTCAGCCATGAATCGTGTTCAGTTACTCGGTCGGGTTGGACAGGACCCCGTCATGAGGCAAGTGGATGGAAAAAATCCCGTTACCATATTTTCTCTTGCAACCAATGAGATGTGGCGAACAGGGGAAAGTGAGGTAACCCAGGGAGGTGAGTATGCAGTGAGCAACGTGCTTCTGCCGTGTTCTGAGGGCACATTTGCATATTCAATAGCACCGCGCTTTGTCTTTAGGCTGCTGTATAAATGTCTCGGGTGCAGGGAAGTTCCCTTGAGGTCAGTAGAGATGCTGGTGCATTTGTGTGTCTCTTACTGATCCCCAGCAGCACGTGCTGAATAAAGATCTGCCCGTTGACCTTCCTCTGGAGGAGAGGAAAGAGCGTTGAGTTGGCAGCTTTTCGCTGTTGGGGTTGCCAGAGGTGTAGTGGGTTCCATACTCCAATTTGTATTCCAAGAGGGGAAAAACCAGAATACGTTTTCTCTTTGATTCTTTCATCAGTCTGGAGCTACAGATGTCTCTCTTTCTCTAACTTTTGTTCAATGCGGAGTACATGAGAGTAAAAAAAAATCTTCTCCTAGGAGCACTGGCCTCCAGGAAAACCGATCTCGTGGATTGAACTGTGCCTTCTGCCTGATATTTTCATTTGGACACAGATGAGTGGAGCATTGAGTTCTAGTATGGAGTGGGAGATCAAGTACTAGTATACTTCCATTTTCACATCACTTTTCGTAATTCAAGAACACCAGAATGTTGAAACTAATTTCTGAGGCTTGCATCAAAAAGAGGATTTGGCACCCAACTTTGTTATTTTTATGTAACTTAGGTGATATCAGTCAGAAGACGACATGGCACAGGATCTCTGTTTTCAGACCCGGCCTCAGGGATGTTACGTATCAGTATGTGAAAAAGGGGTAAGTGAATAACAAATGTGGTTGAGGATTTAATGCCTTGATAATCGATTGATGTAATAATTATGGTGACCAGGAGCTATAGTAAGATAGAAGTGCCTTAAAAATAAGTTAGTAGACGTGCTGCAAACAAGTGAGGCAAAAGCCTGTGTATTCAGAATCAGATATAGAGGAGAAACCAGCTGTACAGTTCTCTGACCAGAACCAAATTCATTTTTTCAGTGCTCGACTCTATGTCGAAGGAAAGATAGACTACGGTGAATATACGGATAAAAACAACGTGAGGCGTCAGGCCACAACAATTATAGCAGGTAAGGAACAACATACCAATGCCTACCTTGCCCTTTTAAAATGGAGGGGAGGCGGAGGACCTTTGAAACAGAGCTTGGTTTGTCTTCATCCTCAGAATCCCGACTTGGGGATTTTGAGAGAATGAATAGGCTGTACCACTAGAAGTCCTCTGGCACTGCTTGTGAAGACACAGAGAATGAGAGCATGTAGTTGCAAACTGTTGCATAGTTTGTTCACACAAACCAGTTGGTGCAGCATGTAGATACTGTGTCTTTTAAGAACACTGGTATGTAGTTCTGCGGGTCAGGCAGATTCCTTTTCTAAGCAGAGCTTGCTCGGTAGCTTTGTCTCGGTTTGGCCAGGAATTTTTTCTTCCTGTTTAAGACTGGGGGCTTCACCAACTTGAAGGACCTCTGTTTGTGAAAGTTGTTTTATGTGGGGATAACTTGATGGAGAATTTAGAAAGACCTCAGTCTGGTAGCCAGTAGTGGTAAGAAGAGCATAGAATGGATAGGGAGTAGACACGGTGAAGAAGAGAACTGGGAAACTAAGCTTTTTTCTTGAGCCTTTAAAAAGCGTGAGCATCTTGTATCTTTACTGTGGGTAGAGCCCCGCTATCTTGTGGCTTTTGAGGGAGGGCTAAAATACTTGGGTAATAGGGCAAACATTTCTGTTACAGAAATATAACTAAAAAAACTGGGCCAGAGGAGAAGGGAAAAAAACCCCAGCCACAATTCTGGATGTTTCTGCTGTGCAGCCTCTTTAAAACTATAGTAGTCAAACTTTCACATGAACAGTTCAGCTAGCAGTGGTGTAGATTGCTGTTTATAAATAGCTGGCAGGGAGAAGCAAATCTCTCTCTTGTTTTTTTAAATTAGTATTTATCCTAATGGTTTTTTCTTCATGTTCAATGTTCCCTGTCTCAAGATGCTTTAGAAATTACTGAGGCTTGATGAAATATGAGCTTCCTATAGTCCCATAAACCAATGACATGTAGTGCATACTGAAAATGACAAAATAAAAAGGAAATAAGCTGTAACTGATAGAGATCATAGTCAAAGAATTAAACCATTATTTTAAAATGTTTCTGGCATCTTTGACTGTGATCATCAGGTTGAGGACATTTGTTTCATGGTATATATGGTCACCTTGAATTGTCAGCTTTCTGGGGAGATAGAGCAAGAAGCCTGTGTTGGACGCTGTTCTGTTTTATGAACTATTCCATTCTGAAATACACGTCTGCAGGTTATTTTAACACAAATAGGTTGTATTTGTGGGTGTGCAGGCTTGCAACAGGGCAAAGCAATCCTGAAGATTAAATTTTCTTTATTTCTTTTCAGATAACGTAATTTTTCTGAGTGATGGTGGTATGAGAGAAAAGGTGTGAGGTCATTAGTGCTTGGACCCAGGCCATTTCATTCCTTTTGGTTTACAGTGCTTCATAACTGTGTAATCATGTATATCGCTGTAGTTTCTTTAAAAAAAAATAAATAAAATGTTTGATACCTATAGGGTATCTGCGTGTGTTTTGTTTTCCTGTGTGCTTTCTCTCTGTTAGTCATCGTTTCGATTTCTTTCTTTTTTGTTCATTCTTAAGAGAAAAGGTAACCCGGGCAGCTGTGGTAATTCTTGAGCTGGTGAATGTAAAAATGGGAGCAACCCTTTTCATCTTCAGCCATTTTCATTTTCCTTAGCTACGTCAATGAGACGGTAAGTTGAAACCAGAGCCGTTGGCCTCCGCTGGTGCTCTGCTTGAAGTTTCTCTGTCACAGACCCGGAGAAGGCCGCCTGTGCATTTGCATCTGCTCCTCCACTGATCATAGCATTTGATCAAACCAAGGCGTTGTCTTTCACCAAACCCTGTTTTGGTCATGTGCTTAGGTCTTCATCATTATGGCGTTTGACATGCGACAACTCTACGATGGTGTCAACCTTCTCATCCCAGTCCCTCGTTAGGGTGCTATGCCTACTGCTTGCCACCAGGAGGAGCAGGAGGGACGAGTGCCGTGGCTGTTCCTTTTGAGAGGCCGGCAACAGTGTCTGAAACGCATTCCCGGCCCAGGATTCTCAGTTAATGTGGGAGTGGCACTTATTTTGCTTTAACTTTGTTTTAGTGTCAGAAAGACTGAGAATTATTAGTACTGTTAGTAAAAAAATTGCACAGCTAAAAGGTGTTTCATTCTATTACATGGAGAAGTGGTGAAATTCCCACTGTAATACAGCGCGATGTGAACAGGGAAAGAAAAACAGTGGCAGTGACAATGTCCTGCCTTCAGAACTGCTGGGATTTTGTATCTCGGCACTCTCTGAGCCCAGAACAGAGCACGCTTATTTATAGTTTTTGCAGATCTTCCCCCTACAGAATGATGATCGTGAGTATGTTTCTCTCTATGAGCATTGTCAGTACTACCAAAAATGCAATTCTTTCAGTTCAGCATTTATTTCTGGTTGAAGTTAATGCTTTAAGTAGTACCCTGGCTCACTGAGGTGTTAGTTGTGCAGGGCACGCTTAGCTACTTAAATGGGTTGTTATCCACAGGAGGTTGTGCTGTTTTTTTGAATAGGAAGTTCTGACTTTAATTCCCTCAACTACTTCTTGTTCAGTCTGAGCCTGTTGTACTGTGGGGAGAAGTTGCGGTGGTGTGCTTCTATGGCAGTGATCCAAATACCATTTGTGTTTGGTCCGCGCAAATTCTTCCTGTTAGCTGAAAGCTGGGGTTTGTCTTAAGCTTTCTTTGTTATCTAGGAGGCCTCGAGTGAATGTGCTAAGCCTCTTGTTTGTTCAGTGGTTACCTCCTTTTTTGCACTCTGCTGTGGTGGTAGAGCTCAACATGGTTTATGAGCTTGGGAACTGGCTTTCTGCTCCGAACTCGGAGCAGAAGTGGCAGCAATGATTCCCTTCACCGCTGCACGTGGAGTGGCTGGGACTGCCAGAACTCTCAGCGCCCGCTGAATGGCTCATGCTAATCTCTGCCCCTGGCTCTGGCTGGGGACAGAGCCAAGCTAGCGCAAGGTACAGGATTAGGTGCCAAGAAAGAAAAATCTTTGCTCAAGAACTTAAACTTCTCTTGCTTTTCTGGTTCTTTTTAAAGTGGCTAGTACACTCTCAACGATTGACCTGCTACAAAGACAGCACGTACCTACTTTGAGAACACGCTGTCTGAAAAAGCGGTGCAGTATCTTGAGTGTTCATCACAATTTTGCACTAGGGTGGATCTTCACAAATGATTCTGCATTAGCAATAGACATAATTACAGCAAAAATAAGCAGTGGCAAAAGTATGTTGTGCATTCACCTGTTAGGTCTTCTTTGCTGCTATGGGGCAAAGTTAATCCATAACTAGGGAATTTTGGTTATGAAAAAATCAGGTGTGAAATTAGCATTCCTATAGCATCTGGGTTGGGTTTTTTTTACGGCTAGGTGCTTGCTCTGTCAGGAAATGTTAAAGGATGGAAAGTGGCATCTACTGAGTTGAATGCAGTGATACCTTGTTTATAACTCAAACAATGCGTATTTTTGCATGCTGTCCCTTGGTAAATGGCATTCAGCTTTTGCCTGTCTGTGTTAACCTCTTGTGTGAACTGGATTAGGCAAACCTTGATTGCTTGCATCAACTAGGACATGTAGAAGCGTTTGTCCTTAAGAAGGAATTTATGTTACATATTTATGGAGATAGAAGGGAAGAGATAAAAAATAGAGATCATTTCTTTTTAAAATGACAGAGCATTTTAACCAAGTTAGTGTTTCTTACCAGTCCTAAGACAGAGCTGTTCTGGTGCCACTCAGTTATTTCTGTCAGTCTGGTGTAAGGTGTAGGAAACCCTCTTCTGCCCTTGTTTCTGTGGCTGTTGTGCACTGATTTGAGGAAGACACTGTGGGCATTGTGCCCGTGTCACACGGTGAAGAACATTTTCAACGTTAATTGAAGTGTGACCTGTATTTGGGAACACAGATAATTCCCCCAAACCCACATAATGCAGAGGGTAATGCAAGGGCTGTTTCTGTGAAGTGGGACTCAATTTCTTTGGCTGAAGCATCTTCTCTTGCTTCTATTTCACGACTCATAACTTCTGCAGACAGAGTCACGGGATGAATTCAGAATGACTGAGGGGTTGGACCAGTACGGAATTGCTTGAGCTTTTTACCAGCAGGTACCTGGCTTGGGTTCTAACCTAGCCAGACGACTTGCATCCTGGTGACTGCATGGTGCCCTGCGTGAAGGGGTGTAGGTGTCTGAGCCCTGTCCCAGCTCTGCTGTGAGGACTGGCAGTGCCTGTGGGAGCCTGGCAAAAGCCCATGCAGAGAGGCCATGAATTGCAAGGGCAAGAAAACAACGAGTGCTTGGAGAAGTCCCTGGGTACAAGAAGTAGGAATATTCTGGTAAAGGGAACTCGTGTTTCTGTCAGTGTGCCAACTACGTGGGTTTAGTAGTAGGCTGTCTCCAGTACTGGCGATCCCACTTCTTTCGTGAGTATTCATGTCAGAAAAGGAATATAATTCCAGGGTTGTGGGAAGAAAAATTCACTATTCTCAAGCATACCTTCTATTTTTAACTCTGAAATTTCTGTGGTGGAAGCCTTTTTGCCAAGTAGTTGAGCATGTCTGTACGTACAAACTAAGACTTGGTGGCTCTTTTGGTGATGGTGAGCTTCTCCACACAGCAGTGTGATATAGATCTCATTTACACAAGGAATTTGCTCTGTGAGTACATTACCAGGTACTGTGTAGTGCAAGTAATGTGTTTGCACTTGACACACAAAGAAATCAACTTTCACAGGGGTTCTATGGACACATCCCCTTGTGGGAAATGTGTGTTAGTGTGTGTGATTTCTTTCTTCTGCTCATTGCTTTATGTCCCAAATGAAAAATCAGCTCATTACCATACTTTGCCATTTCAGAACAATCTCCAGCAACTACTGTGATTAGAAATTGATTGCTTGGGCATTCTTTGTGTTCTTAGTCCTGAAGTTTGTGCCCTGTGCTCTGTAAGAGGTGCTAGGTTTGTTGAAGAAAACTTCCCTAATTATGGCCATTTTCTATGACTTTGAAGGGGTAAGATTTTTCATTTGTAGCTGGTCAAAAAGCTAGCAATTGTTATCCTCTAGGCTCTGTTGCTATTTGTTCTTTTCTTGCTGGTTGACTTTTCAAACATATTTGAACAGAATGGCTGTAGAAAACAGATGGTTATCTTGATCCTGGTTGTCACAAGTCAGAAAAATGTCACCTGTAAATATTTAATGAACCTTTGTGCAACTGAGCTGATCGAGAACTGAGCAATGATATGGTCACAGGAGTCACAGCTTCTGTAACCTGGATCTGCAAGGAAAAGAGAGCACCTTTCCTTTGGCAGGCCTTCTGTGACTTAGCAGGCTTGTATTACTGCTAGCTTTTTTCTTTAGTATTTTAAGTAAGTGGTTGTTTGGAGCTCTGACTTAACAGCCTCCTCGTTCTTAGCTAGTTTGGTTTTCTGTGTGGGTTTTCTATATGTTTTGTCTGTGTGGGCTTTCTGCTCATGCAGAAAGGTGACAGAATGCTCAGTAAAAGATAGCTGAGCTCTCCTCTCCCCTCAGCCCTATCTCTGCAGACAATACACCCCCACTTTTTTATCTTCTTTTAGATCGTTGGTGAATTTTTGCACTGTCACCCTTGTGCTGGAGAGTGGGTTCAAACCCAGTTCAGCAGTCTGTGGTGAGGAAATGGCCTTACACAAAAGGAGAAATCAAAATGCTCTCAGAATTAGAGGAGTTGGAACTTAAAAATACTGCTAAAGCTGCTCTAAGGGGAAAGTTGCGAAACACAGGGAAACAGCATTGATTTTCAGCATGCTAGTAGCTATGGAAATCTACAATTTAAAATCCCCTTAGCAATATGGGAAAAAGGTAGGAGGACAGTTGTGTCTGTATAATGTTCTTGCTGGTTTTGCAGTGTTTTCCACAGCGCCTGATTTCTGGTGTAGGGTCAGTTTGTGAGCAGCAACGTGCAACACATTAGACTGCTACCCCATGTGTCGTATCAGGGCACTGAATAATTAATATTCTCTGGAAAGGATTAATTTCCTCCGCTTTTGTCTCTTCCTTGTTAGTGCCCTGTATGTGCTGCCCATTTTTAGCAGAAACTTGCTAATACAGATTTCTTTCCCCAAGAAGAACTGGAGCTGCAGCACAAAATCTTCAGCGTGGTCTAGATGCTGTTAGTTGCCACCTTATGTAGTTCCTTACAAAGTCTCAGGGAATTGTTTTAGGAACGTTGATGCTCAAAAGTGAGACGTAGCTTTGAACACTGATTTTAATAATATTGCAGGAACTGGGCAGGATGCCCAGTTACCAGTGTCTAGTCACTAGTTACCAATATCGTGGTTTATGTTGGTGAATAGACCCCGAAATGGAGAGTCTCTGTGTATCAAAATATTTCAGTGGTCAAAGACATCTTCCAAGATGCTTATGAATACTCAGCAGTACCGTGTACCATAGCAGCAGCTGTGCCTCAGT